AAGCAGTCTGAGTCCCAGCTCCTTTTGCATGGGGTCTACTATGTCCCCCTAAGTGCCCCTCTGTGACTCACTGTCACCCTTTGCAGTGGGTATTTTGGAAAGTGTGAGTGACAGCAACTACAAAACACAGCTTTTCAGCCTGCATTTTCATCTCTAGCTTGCATGGTCCTGCAAAGCATGTGAGACTTGCTCCTTCTCCCTAACATGAAGATACAAGTGGAGGTGAGAGCTCTCCCTGGGCAGAGTCAGGAAGGGGAATCTATGTTCCCATCTCTTCTGTCCTGTGCTATTACCCCTGGGACCAGGAACAGTGCAGCAAGGTTAAAGCAACTTACGTTGCACCCAAAATACACTGAGCAAAGAAAAATTCAGCCTAACAATCTCATGCTCCACACAGAATTATCTGGGCTGTTTCTGCTGTTGGTTACAGCCATGCCACACCATGGCTTCCCAATGAAGTCACTGAGCCCAGCTGGGTGTAGCTGAGGGTGGTGCTCATATTGTCTGGGCTAAATGTCAGCAAGGAACAGCAGCAGTCAAACAAGAAGGATTTCTAAGCATTTCCCTTCTCCTGGTCACACTGAGCCATCATTCTTGGATAGCTGAGGCAAAAGGACAAGAGCAAAGTTATTTCAGATGGAAAGTACCTAAATGTTTTGTTCTTTGTGCATAGAAACGAACAGAAATGAGCTCTGGGTCTCATAAACATCAACACCCAGTTTTCTGTGTATACAAGCCAGCTGCTAGGAAAGCTTGATGAGTTTTAACTCTGCTTTGAGTTTAGGGGATAAACAGGATCCAATGCTCAGCCCACAGGATTCCTGTCCATGCTCCAGAAGATGTCCAGGCAGATTTTGGGCATTACCTGTGCCTGGCTGCTGGAGATGGACTCCATTACCACGCTAGACCCACTGGACCTTGTGGGCACCCCTCGGCACTTTGGAGCAAAGTTGGCTTTCTCGGCTGGGCACAGATACCTGCCTCCTCTGGTCACCATCACTTTACTGAGTTACTGTTTTCTTCCACCTTGGCAGCAGTTGTGATTCTGCCCTCCTTCACATTACACAAAATCAGCTGGGGTAACTCAGAGCTGTCGCTGAAACTGTTTAATCCAAGTGAGTGGTCACAGGGCTCTTTGACAGATTGACAGTAATGTTTGCCTGGAAGTGTCAATCACTCCTCTGTGAAGGGATCACCTCTCTGTTTAATCTGGTGAAAATGGTGTGCCCTGAGCTGGCTGGTCTTGTACTGGAGCAGGTTTGGGAGTGTGTATGTGCTCCAGGTAAACTCTGGCAGCCCTAGCACTGAGCTAGAGAGTAAGTAGAAGCAGACAGAGAGTGAATGTCTATAGCAAACCCAACAGGGATTGTTGGTCTTGGACTTGAGAGGTTAGGTTAACTTATGTGTAGGTTAGCAACTTCTGTTCAATGCCTTAATCAGCCTGTAGTTATTGAGCAAATGTCATTTAAACCCACGTCTTGAATATAATCTTAAATCTGAATCCTATGGAGAACTGGGGCTCAGTGCACTTCTTGCAACTGTTGTGTCAGGCTTCCCACACCACAGGTGCACAAAACTGCTTGTGTTGGGTGTCCAAGGTTTCTCAGGTACTGCTGAGACTGCTAGTGACTAGTGTAGGTGACAGGAGAATTTTGAGAAGTCATAGTCCTAAACCTTCTCAAAAACTGTGACCCTGAACTTGGGCAAGGTGTGAAATTCCAAAACTTTCTTTCCTCTAACACAAGCTTCTCAAGGTCATGTGTAAGGCACTGACTCTCTGATGGTGGTGTAGAGCGCCCTGCCCCATGCTCTAAGGGGAACTGCTGTTAGATGAAGGTAGGTAAGAGCAGGTCTCTAAGCAGTTAAAGATTTTTTAAAGTAAAGATATTTACATTGAATGTTTTGCTAACATTGGTCTTTCAGGAAAACAGTTGTAAAACTTGCTGCAGGGCTGCTTCTGCAACCGTGTGCCAGACAGCAACTGAAGCCTTGTGTCCAGGAGAGGGTTTGGGAGCTGCTGTCTAGGAAACTATTCTGCATCAGGCAAAAGCTTGATTTTCTGTAATTACTGTTCTGTTTTATTGTGAAACCCGTTCTTAAATATTGCCCCTAACTAGACATGATTTAAATTACATTCCTTCTTGCTGCTATTTTCATGGTGCTCAGTTAAGACTTGATTTCTCAATTCTTGACTGCAAATTTGATAGAAGAACCAATATATACAAGTCAGTAGGGAAGGGAAATTTCTATTTTGGTCTTAACTTGTCCTACCAGTAAGCACAGATACAGTCATGTTTTTAGCAAAGTATGTGAAAATGGACTTAGTTTGTTTCTTTCATATGGAATATAAATCTCCTGGTGTACATGTATTTATAAATCGAAAGTATATCAGCAGTGGAAAAGGAAAGGGACAACTTTTACTGTCTTTGTGGACTGGCATGGTTACAGACATAAAAGTTGAACATGTAGGGAAAACTGCAAAGCTACAATTTCCCAGGCTACAAGACAGTGTTGGTGAGATTTCTTAATCTTGCAGTTGTTATACCTATTGGAAGCCTGGCTGCAACACATCTACAGCAAAGCCAACCTCTGCAGGACACCACTATCTGCAGTGCATGCATCACTTGGAGCTCTTCTGCAGATCTCTCCTGCTCCCTTCTGGCGAAGCCTTGAAATCCAAACCAGAGAAGATTTTCTCCATATATCAGTTAGATATCAGAATTGTTCTCAGAAACTCTATGGTCAACACAATCCTTCCTGCACAGTGGTATAGGAAATGAAGGATGGGATGAGTGTGCCCCGTCAATAAATAAATGAAAACATTCATGGATTCCATTTCTCTTTTCAGAGGGGAGCAGAGCTTCATGGTAGCCTGTATCTTCAAGAGACTTTTGAGGTCCTCAAAGGGTATTTGCCAAAGGGTCACAGTTATTGCAGTGCTACAAGAAACTTACTGATTTATTTTCTCCTGCTTGTGTCTTGTTTTTCATGCCACTTCGTTTGCCTGGTTACTCCATTCCTAATGTTTAAACTCAGGGACAACACTGACCCAACAGCCCAGACAGTACGGTTATAGAAGTGTCCTATTTTTCAACAGCACAGCTGAATTTAGTATGGAGACAGGTTATGTCTCAAAAGGGTCAAGAACTTTTGAAATGGCAAAATAGTGCCCATCATACTTCAGTACCTGGGTACCTGTCTGCAAGTCAGTGTACTTATTCTGAACCAAAATTAAATATACTGTTGAATTAAATGAAAAAGCATTTATAATCAGGACTGAACTGTGTACCTTAACCTGTTTCATATACTATTCAGCTACTCTGAATAGTTGAAAGAGACCAGTGGGGATCTGTATAGGATTATTGTTCCTTTTGGACAGGAAATTTAAACAGAGACACAACATTAAGTTCATGTAGGGTCCTATGAGAAGCCAAGGCCACATAGGGAGATCCAGGTCCTCTCTAAAATCATGACCCTGTTACGCAGGGAATCCTCTAATTGTTTGATAAGGGGGCTGTACCACATTCAGATTCAGCATCTTTTCTGTGGCCAACACTACTGTCTCCACCAGTGACTGGACCTGGAAGGGTGGCTGGTTGAGCGAGCTGTAGGTTCTGCTCTGGGGAGACACTGAGCTAATCCTACGTGCTTGGCTCTGGCTGCAGTTCCCAGAGTGAAAACAATCAGCTTTATTTGTAATTGGAAGTTCTAACGTGCACAGTTGACAACCCTAAACAAAAGACAGTTAAAAAGAAGCCCAATGTTTATTACCTAACATTTTTTTAAAACTTGTCATGTTTAACCTAAACATACAGCTTTTAGGGGGTGTGACTCCTGTCTTCAACCATTGAAATTTGACAGCAGCAGGTAAGTTAGCAAGTTGCAATACAGGAAGCCTTTCCTAGAATCTCCCTCCACTGATCTTGATGCATAGTTGGGACCTGAGATAGGTGTATTTTGCAAGAACCTACCTATGCTATGGACCAGCAATAGTTAGATATGTTCACATCCAGTGGAGCTGGGCTGACAAATATTCCTTTATAAAAAGTAAGATGGTAAAAAAGCCTTTTGTTTGGGTGGGTTATACCAGTCAGGCTAAGCTGTCCCAGCAAGAGGGCTTTTTTTGTAAGCTAGTAAGATTTTGTAAGATATAGTAACACCAGAGAAACTTTTAGACTAGTCTTTTTTTCCTGAAGACACTTAACGTCTCCAGGAATCTGGAGGCTATGGAATATAAAAGGGTTGGTTATTCATCATCACTGACCATCCACAGTTAAACTTTGCTGGGAGTTAAAATTCCAACCTATTGATTTTTTACCACCTTCCTTGCTACGGCTCAGCTTACATGATTCTTTGGTCTTTTCTGGTATATACTTATACCTATATCAGCATTTTTATTGTGTTCAAATGACTCTTACTTCTCCTTTTCTCATCTTTCTCTTCCTTCTCAGCCTCTTGCTAGCTTTCCTTTTCTCATCTAACCTTCCACAGACTGTGACTACTAAATGTATGGAAGCTGGATTATCATTAGGATGATCTGTTGATTTATGATGTTGGTGTTACAGCCATTTTCACTTTTCCATTATTGCTTCTCTCTACCCAAGTGTAAGGCACTCAGACTTGATTTTCAGGCCTTATTTGCTTTTTTTTCCCCCCTTCAGTACCTATCTGTCTGTCCCTTACTCACCTGTGTCCTATCAAACCTTACAAGCATTACCACAGTGTTCTCCAGCTGTGCTCATAAGGAGTCTGCATCTAGCAGGTATCAATGGCAAGCCTTCAAAGGACACTGCAAGAAGCATAGCACAAAATCAGTAATTTTCTCTCCAAGGCCTATATCTGTAATACATACTGATGTAAAAAACCAATAAGCCAAGGGGAAGTACTGAAGGAGTTCATTCATAGGTATACCTAATACCTGATTCAAATGATGTTGAATTCTATATCTCTGCTTGTATCCTTGCCTAGTTACTCCTTTATTTGCTGTTCATCTTTACAGACTGCAAATTCTCCAAGGCAGAGAATTCACAGTTTTGCATAACACCTACAAATCTTGATGAGGCATGTATGACACAGGTATTTAATAACGACGTTGTTATTCAATAAAAATGAGTGTGCCACTCATGACTCCAGGGCCTTTTTTATCACAGCTCCATGGATTATTTCACAATGAAAACCTTCTTGGAAGCTATGGGAACTGGAGCATCTTGGCCTGGGCTTGACATGTGACACCAAGAATCTGGAAAACCTTGGTGGCTCTATTGAGAGTAAGTTAAGAAATAAACTATGCTTTTGGATTTCTGGGCTTCATGCTGTGAAGCTGGGTTCTTGTGAGACCTGGCTGTCTTATCTCACATGGGATGCCTCAAACCTTAGGAATTCTGCCTGAAGTAGCGCTGCAGTGAGGGCAGTCTTGCATTATAGATCTATGGGCTTTCATGGTCAGTTTTAAGGTTTGTCTTTCTCTCCTACTAGAACTACTAAGATTTGGGCAACTCTAATTTTGAGTACTGTTCACCACTGACTTGAATTTTCTTCCTATTTCTTCTTTGTATTTTCTCAGTTTAGCTAAAAGGCAACTGTTGGAAATATGGGGGGCTTGATCTCACCGAGAAAGGCTGGGCAGATGAGCTGCCAGGAGCATGCAGCTATTAGTGATCCCTTATGGTTAATGAGTCCAGATCCTTGAGGGGGTGCTGAGTCTTGCCGAAGGTCTGGGCAGAGATATCTTACTGTAGAGACTCCTTGCGTGCAGACAGCGCTTGCAACAGATCGTCTTTTCCACGTATTGAAATACGCTGTCAGAAAGAACAAGAAGGGAGTTAACATATGAGGCTTTTTCCATGTTGTTTAGATTCTGACATGTCTCATCCAAAATTTTCATAGAGAGCTTTCTTCTCTATTCCTATGGGCCAGATACTCAGCTGGTGTAAACGCAAATGCCATTGCTGCTGTGTTCTTTGACGCAAAGTTGGGGCTTAGCTCATGGTGGTGTTGTGTCTGGGAATATTTTTATCCTTTAGAGATATTTGCCCCCTCTCCCCCTCTGTCTCCTCAAGGATTCTTTCTTCTCGGCAAACATAACTCCTCTGACTGGAACATATGGGGAAAGTATTTTCTTGCATTCCTTCACCACTCAAAAATGGTAAAATCAATTTGGTTAAAATTAAAACCTTTTGGGTTGAATCTTAGCCTAGAAAACTTCATCTCCCAAAGGAATCCTTAAAGAAAGTTGTGAGCAATTTCTGAAAAAGATGGAGTTGGCTTGGAAAACAATGCTGGGGCAGAAAGCAATTGGAAAAGCCCTTTGACTTTGGTAGCAGTCACACCCATGTCTTCGGGTGTGCATATCTCACTTTGGTTGTCACAAGAAAAGTACTGGTGGCTGTTGACTTCTGTGGCCCTGGACAGTCAGTGTGGTGTTCAGTGACAGTGACCAATACATGCCCTTCTCCACCTTGTTTTTCATTTATGCAGGTCTTTGTGCTTCTGCTTTTGGCTGGAAATGTAAATGACTAAGTATTTGGTACCAGACCTTGCAGACTTAAGAAGGTCAAATAGCTTGGACAAGCTTTACAAGGTTTGGATTGTTTAAGCCAACCCCTTCAGTTTCATGCAAAGTTATATGAAAAGCTAGCATCTTCATGGGTAAAATAGTGAAGGGTAGGCTGGTGAAGGAGCAAGAAGACAAATTTCTTGCAGTAAAAATTAGCTGGTTTTGCTCTAATTAAGTGAATACTGTCCTGATAACTGCTCTTTCTTGAAGGAGAAAAATTGAAATTTCTTCCTTAATTTTCTTGGATGTTGAATTGATCCAGAATAACCTCAACACTTGGACTTGTACCAGTTACAGTAGTGGGTAAATGAATCACTGGTAATTTGATGAATTCAGTGTGGAAAGAGCTAGCATGTGGTTGCAGCCAGGTGAAGAACATTATCTGATTTGGGGTGGATGATTAGGACTTTTTGTCCAGAATGATTCATCCAAGCAGAGATCCCATCCAAGGAATGAGAGTTCTTCACACCAGATGAACTTTCAAGGCCTGTAATATATTTGACATCTGTGTTATACAGATTTCTAGCACTTCATATCTAGGAAATAGGACTGGCAACTTGCATGAAATGTCTGGTTTGTAATAGCATTGTTTTCTTAGTAGCACTGATGTCTTTGTTCCATGTGATGGTACAGATAGTACTGAAGTCTGGTAAAGTTTGATTTCTTACGTGCTTTCAAAGCCTCCACAGCAAACCCATAGTTGTTATGGTTAGAGCAACTCCTTGTAGCATATCCAGCAAGGAATCATGTATAGAGAGCATTGCTTGGAGCTGAAACAAGTACTTTATTGACAGACTTTGCCATGAGTAGAATTCCTATCAGAATATGTAAATAACTTCTGATGTTTAAACATCAGACTTTACCTTTTGCAGATGTTCTTGCACCTTTTAGCACTTGGGGCATATTACATAATGGCCCAGTTTTTTGCCACCACATGCTGTAGCACATATCACAGTGGTAGGTATAATAACATTAGAAGACAACAAGGCAAAAAAAAAACCCAAAAAGCGCTTTCTGGTAAACCCGAGTTGTTCCTGTAAATCCCATTGTTCCACAACACACACATCTGAAGGGCTGATTTTACGGAGATGATCTCTGCAGGGTATGCTTACCCTGTTAGCACCCAATCTCTTGCTTTGCACACTGTATGTCACTCAGTATATTGATGAAAAAGTCACTATCACAAGCACTGGATACTCTGATCTACCTCTTTGCTGATAAAGAAATATTATCCTCTGGTTGAATATCGGTATCTTGTAAACAAAACCTCTTTAGATTAGCTGGGGAATATTTTAATTGCCTGTGTACTGGAAGACAAAGGGAACAGGGCCTGGAGTCTGAAGTCCATCTCTTCAGTTCTGAGAACTGGCCTGTCGGATGTCTTTGAGCTGTCTGCTTGGCAATGTGTGCCTTGAGGCCATCCTCATTTGCTGTACAACCAGCCAGTGACTCATGCCTGAGGCATCATACAGGGCATGCATGTTCTCATCCCCCCAGCACACACAACAGTTTATTGTGCCCCCAGGCAAGGCCAGCTGGGCTTTCTACAGATAGCACAGGCAAGCAAGTGGGAGCCTGTGTTGTTCAAACCTGCTTTTTCAAACCAGGATAGGCAAAAGCTCTCTTTCTCAGCTTTTCCCTTTTGCCGATCAGGAACTGTGACACTGACCTTCTTTATTAGATATTTTGACATATACGGAAGGGCTTTTTTCCATTTGTCAGGAATCTTAACCATGCAGAAAGATCTTTTTGGTTCTTTTGCTGGGCTGACAGCAAAGAAAATACTATCAGGGAGCAAAAGGATGACCTCTGTCTATCTAAAAGCTGGTTATCTTGGTAGGAGATGGATGGATAGGTGTTTTGGGATGAACATGGGGTAGCTGTTGCAGGCAACATAATACACCTAAGAAGTGTGTGTCCATACTCTTCCTGCTTTAGGATCACCCAAAAACATTGATGAGTGGTGCATATGAAGATATACATGTTCATGCAAATTTAAAGATTCACTCTACATTAAAATCTAAATAGGTCATTGCTTCCTTACAGTAGCTGTAGCCTTAGTGTTTCTTGCATCTTTGTTTTCAATCACATTTGTTTCATAATGTGATTGAAATTAATACTGAATTTCTGTTACAGACACTACAAAGCAAGTAGTGCTGCAAGACTGCTATTGGGCCTCAGCAGACTGATAAGGACAAAACCTCCTAACTTCAGGGTGAACACACTACAGAGCATAACAAAGGTGTTTCTGAGGACATAGACCTGAACAGAAGCTGAATACCAACAGGATCAATGAAGAGCTGGTGCTTGTGTTATAGCTGTCGCACGTCCATGTTGGTGGTAAACCTTGGTTGTGCTTATTGATATTAAGTTCTTCTTGTCTTGAGTTCAAAACAATTTCTGTAATTCTGTCAAAATATTCTGGTAGCTTTTTGTAATGAACTATTTTCTGAATTTTGCAATTGCTTCCTTAGTTCAGCTTTTTGAAGGTTGACACTTTTGATTCTGGGGGAAGGAAGTGCAGAACCTGGGTTAGCTTTTTATTTACAAGAAAACCAAGAAAATTGTCTCTGTTCATTGTAATTTAGGAATAAGGTGCAAAGAAGGTAGGACGCTTCCAGGGAAGTGGAACTAAGGGGAACTAAAGGTGAGGAAACTGCATTACCAAGGACAGCTGTAGGTGACACAACATCAACTTGAGTTAAAATGGAAGAAGTGACCATGGGCCAGAATGGGACTGGTTTGAGCCAGCGTGTGAACTGCTTCTGAATCTGCTAGTGCTCAGGAAGAGTAAGAGCAGAATTAAGCTGTCAACTCCCTGCAGTGAGTCAGAGTTCTCTTATGTGAGAGTTGATGAATGATTCCTGCTAAGGATCATGAAAAGTGAATGTTGTCCTGAAACGTCCATTGAGGTGAATCTCAGTTGCTCTTGGATCGAACCTTGCCTGGATCCAGTCCATGAACTCGAGCATCTTGTGGAGACGGGAGGAGGTCTCTGTGTGTGCGGGGCATTTGCTGAGTTTGCATAGGTGCAAAGGTGGGGCAAAAGTAAACCACTGCCATCGTCCCCACCTTTACTTAATACAAAATGGCAGGTGCAAGAGATGGATTTGTGGTATGCTTAAGAGGGCAGATGGGCACAGAAGGTGCAGTGGGCTTGTTCCTCAGCTCAGTTTGCATGGCATCTGGATGGCATTATGCTTTCAGAGGAAACCCAAACTGAGCTTTCTGCAGGTGAGGACTTTTCCTTGTACAGGAATATGGGATGTGGGAACATGAGACCATGACTGGATTTCACTGTATGCCCCATCTAAGCTAGATGGATCCATCACAGCTGAGGGATGAGTCATCTGCACATAGGCTTAAAGGGATATTTAGTACCATGTTTGGCTCAGCAGGTCTGAAAATAAGTAGTTAATTTGGATTAAATTTCATGGTGATATTTTGGCTCCTAAAGAGGAATTTTGGTGCACTGCTAAGAATTAGGACCTTTAAAAGTTTCAAGATCACCCTGACAATCTGTGATGCAACTGTGTCTTGAAAATAGTTTTCTTCACCCCATTAGGGAATCTGGTAGGATCAACCCTGTTAAAAACATAAATACATTGAGAGAAGGAGATAACACAGTGGAAGATTTCTTATGGCTAATGGAAAAGCATCCAAGCAGTCTCTGTCTGTCTCCCTCCAACCCTCTCTTGATGTACCCAGATGGCCACATAGTAAGTGCGCTGTAAAAGACTGAGCCACAGCCTCCCTTTGCTGATCTCAGCAAGGTCTGGCTTTCTTGCTCTGTTTGTTCTGGATTTTCTCAGGCACAGCCAGTGTGCACAGCTCTAATTCTGACCACTGCTGTGATCTGAAGTCATGTGGGATGTTTCTCTTGCTGACCCACCTCCAAGTCCCAAACTTCAAACAATGCTCTGGCTGGAAATCTCATCCTTCAAATGTGGGTTATGCTAGTTGAGAGCACATATAGAACAAGAAAGTTATTGCCAAGCATGATGCAGTCCCAAGGAATATACTGAATTTGGTTAGATAAACGGATGATGTAACCAGACCAGTTAGCAGCAGTTAGCACCAATTGAAGACTTGGGTCTCTGTGGTTCAGGAACTCAGTCTTCTTAGAATGTGAAGCCTTCCCTTGGTAATTTAATGTTTTCCTGGCTTTTTACAGGTTTCCCTCTAACACCAGGTACTTTATGTGATATACCTGTGGGGCAAACAGCTCTGCACTGAAAGTGACTTTCCTGTCCCTAGATTTCACTGGAGGGAATGATTCTCCTCCATCCCCCCAGCATAGCAAAGTAACCTGTACTGTTCATAGAAGTGCAAGACCAGGAAGGGACAGTCTGTGGGAAGGATTCTCAACACCCATTCATGGCCTAGGAGCTAGGGACATTGCCCCCTCAGCAGCATCCCCCCAATATCTTTATTCTCATCCTCCACAGGAGCCACATTCTGCTACCATAAGGACGTGGAAAGGCACAGGTGAAAGCAGACAGATGTGTTAGAAGCATTCTTCTAGGGGGAAGAAGGGACACTGAAAACTGTCCTCCTACCAATACTCCTCAAGCTATGTCAGTGCTGGAACTTGTAGTTAAGGGAAGGCCAGCAGCCTGGGACAGACAAGTGCCTGGAAATGTGCAAGTTCTACTGTTTATTAATTTAGGTTGTGAGGGCTGCTTAAGATCAACAGAGGTTGTCATCTACTTTGTATTTGTGCTGTGCCTGCTGCAGGGCTTAATATGGGGTGGTTATTTTGGAGATACCATTCACTGAACAGAAATTAGGGATCAGGACTTCCCAAGTGGGAGTCCACATACACAGGCATAAACCAGCAAGTAACTTTGTAAGACTTCAATAAACAGGTCAGTACAGTGCCAACAGGTCCTCTCAGACAATGTTATAGGTTGTCCCTTATGGAGATCATTGAGGTGAAAATGCACTTTTCTTCCCTACACTAACACAAAATTTGTTGAGCCTGAAGCCATCCTCCTCTTTTCCCTCTGCATAACTTTTAAATAAAATGACTGATGCATTCACATGAACTTAGAAAACATATAGGCTTTTGTACTGTATGGGGCTGTTTGAATCAGTAGGTCATCTCTCCTCTTCAAAGGTGTGTGGGAGCAAGATCAGTCTGTGCTGTAAAGGGGTTTTGGAGGTACCCAAGCAAGCCTGGAGCAGACAGGTACATCCATGTCTCTTAGAACAACATTTTGCAGAAGGACCACTTCAGGTGCCTGGAGTGGCATGAGAAGAGCAGTTAATTACATGGGGTTTAATTAAGGATGTCCTGTCTGTGTGATATATCAATTAGGGATGTGTGGTGTTCCAGACTGTGAAAGGCTTATTGCTGTAATGACAACAGTTCCTGCATAAAAATAGGTTTGGCATATACTGAGAGCTATATGTATTTACGGCTGCTGAGGGAGATCTCCTTTGTGTTTGGGCTGCAGAGCTGGAATTTGCTGAGGCCTGGAGTTGTTTAGCTGAAATGAAGAGGAAGAAGGAAAATTTGTACCTTGTGGCCCTAATTATTGAAATGTTCTTTGCAAACTTAATAATAAATTTCAGTGAAAACTCTCAGTCAGAATGAGCAAATCATTCATACTCAGATGACCTGCTGCTTCACTGGGCTTTTGGATCAGCCATTTGAGTCAAGGAAGGCTCCTGCTGTCTTTATGGGTTTTGTTTAAACCTCAGATCCTCTGAAAGAAGCAAGCTTACTCTGAACCTTTGACTGCTGAGCATGGTATTTACATCTGCTCACATCCACTGAAAGCTGCACGTGCCTGCACTAACTCAGCCAGAGAAAGACCTGAAAATCCCCATTCCACTCAAAGGACAGAGTGAGATTTGGTTTCCATTCCTCCGCCAGGGATTCTTAGTCAAATCCTATGGAAAATAGTCCTATCTGAGTAGTAAATCTCAGATGCTTCTGCATGTTTATTCTCTATTTCCATCTCATTGGTCCGAGTTCATTTTTAACCTTTGATTAGAGCAGCTATGTAGGGGAGGCAGGCTGGGTGGGGTATGTAGGGTTTTTCTTCCTAGCTATGTTTTTTTTAAAGCCATCTAGCTACACAGCAGGGTGGATGGTGATAGAAAGATTGGCTTTGCTTAGCAGTGCAAATAAGTGGTCCCTCCTTCCCTCCCCTAAAAGTTTTGACTGGAACCAACTGACCTGGTTCTGCCTAAGCCAGCTCCACAGGGATGATAACAGCCAAGGGTAAAAACAAATGAAATACCTTCATGGTTGTAGTATGCAACAAAGCCCTACTACTGTTTGTGTCAAATCAAGACCAGCCCGTTCCTCATTCAACCTGAAGAATTTATTGTGGTTTATGCAGTGCTTGCTCTTTGATCCCTGATCTTCAGGGTAGAAGTTGAATTTCTGGCCCTCATTCACCTTTAGGTGAGCTCCTGAAATGGGACCTGAATTGAATCCAGTGCAATAACTAGGTATGGGTGGCTGCCACGGAGTGATGCCTTTAAAATTCCTCCAGTTTGTTTTTTAGGCCATATGCTGGGGGGCCTAATCTGCTTTTAAAGTAACTCCTTGCTTTCTCCAGGTAGGAAAATTTTTTATTATTCCCTATTAGAACATAGTGGTCTTGGATGAATTTGGGATCAGCTAATATACAGAGGGGCAATGCTGCTTGTCTGCACCACAGCCAGGCTACCCTGCCTGGTGCCTGTCTTGGCCTGTTCATAAACAACAATAAGCTTTCTATAAGACCTACAAGAATGAGGTGCTTTCCTACTCTGTGACTACAGATGTACAAAGAAGAAACTGCACTGTAAGTCAAACATTTTAATGTTGTGTGTTTCCCAAGAAAAGTCTGTACAGGGGATGGCTGCTCTCTTTTCCAAATGCTGCTCTCAGTTCTGATTCAGAGATGGCATTTCAGAGTCAGAATCTGGTCCCTAATCCCAAATTTGCATGTCATTTTTGTCAGATTTATGTCTCTAATACTCTAAAAGCCAAAAAAAGTGGGGGAGGAAGATCCAGGGAGCTACAGGCCAGTCAGTCTCATCTCAGTGCCCAGCAAGATCATGGAGCAGATTCTCCTGGAAGCTATGTGAAGACATGGAAAACAAAGAGGCAATTTGTGACAGCCAGCATGGCTTCACTAAGGTGAAATTGTGCCTTGCATACTTGGTGGCCTTCTACGATGAAGTTACACTGCTGGTGGATAAAGGAGGAACAACTGACGTCACCTTGGACTTATGCAGTGGTGGCTAACTGATCTTTAAGGTCCCTTCCAACACAAACTATTTTATGATCCTTCCTGCCAAGAAACTTATGGCTTCCCCATATAGGTCCTGTACCATTCCTATCTTGCCCCAGGAAGGAAGCAGTCTGCTGCCACAGAGTACTATATGTTTCTGGTAGACTTCCTGGGACCAAAGGAGGGCAGGTAACAGGGCATAGGCAAGGCGAACCACACTGGATGTAGTTTATATTAAACCTGGCTGTTGCCTGAGGTTTTGGCTCTGCATTACCTCCCATAAGCTGTTGGAGGGGCTGATTTGGAGACAGGGTGCCAGGTAGAGTCTTCCAGTTGTAGGTGCAGGTTTTAACCTCTGGCAGGCCATAACTGTGCACTCACCTAACCACAGGTGATCGCTTTCCTGGTAAGGTATTTATTCTTAGCAACATTACTACCTGCTGCAGAAATTAGAATCATAGAATCAGAATAGTTAGGGTTGGAAGGGACCTTAAGATCATCTAGTTCCAACCCCCCTGCCGTGGGTAGGGGCACCTCGCACTAAACCATGTCACCCAAGGTTCTGTCCAACCCAGCCTTGAACACCACCAGGGATGGAGCATTCACAACTTCTTTGGGCAACCCATTCCAGTGCCTTGCAGTAAAGAATTTCCTCCTTATATCCAATCTAAACTTCCCCCATGTAAGTTTTAACCCATTACCCCTTGTCCTATCACTACAGTCCCTAATGAAGAGTCCCTTCCCAGCA